TGCTCCCTCCTACCTCTCTGACCTACTATCCCCCTACCTACCTGCCCGTACCCTCCGTTCCTCTGGCTCCGGTCTGCTCCACATCCCCCGCCCCAACCGCCCTACCATCGGTGGTCGGGCCTTCAGCCTCTCAGCCCCCAGGCTCTGGAACTCCATCCCCCAGTGCCTTCGCCGCTTCCTCCCTTTCCTCCTTCAAGGCCGGTCTCAAAACCTTTCTCTTTGACCGTGCCTTCAGCTCCCCTCTCGACTCTCTTCCCCCTCCTCGCTCTCTCCCTTCCCTCCCCTCACCCTGACCATTTCCCCCCTCCTCTCTCCCTCCCTTCCCTCCCCTCACCCTGACCATTTCCCCCCTGCTCGGGTCATGACCCAACTGTGCAGCGCCTTGGGACGTCCTCCTGACGTGAAAGGCGCTTTATAAATGGAATCTTGTTGTTGTTGTTGTTGTTGTAAACCAAGGTTCTATCTGGCTTTCCAGGTGAATGTTACAGATCTCAAGCCACTAATTAAAAAAGTGAGTTTCTTGCTGGTTCCTGATCAACAACCCTTCATGCCTTCAGTCGCCCTCCCACCTCTCTGCCTTCCCTCAACCCCACCCCTCCCCCATGCTTGGGTCCTGATTCCTGACTGCCCAGCGCCTTGGGAAGTCCTCCCGATGTGAAAGGCGCTCTATAAATGTAATTTTGTTGTTGTTGTTTGTGAGATTTGCTGGGTGCAAATTTAACTGCTGTATTTGGCAACGGATGCAATAAGGGTTTTCAATTGTTCCTGTCCTCATCTGACACCCACTGAGCTAGTTAATAATAATAATAATAATAATAATAATCCTTGCATTTGATATAGCGCTTTCACGTCGGGAGGACGTCCCAAAGCGCTTCACAGAACACATTGTAAAGTGAATTGACTGTATATTTGTGGGCGAACGCGGCAGCCAATAGCGCACAGCAATGTCCCACAAAGTGTCGTAAATTGAAAATGACCAATTTATTATTGTTTTTTGTTTTGGAGGGATTATTATTAGGCTCTGTGTGGAGTAAGGAAACTTGCCCAAGGTTTCACCCTGACCTGCCGGGGATTGAACTCAGGTCTCTCTTGCGAGATCCCTGGCTGATTTTTCTGCCCTGCTCCCTTGGCATTGTGTGATTCTCTATCCTTGTGCCCAGCCAACTCAGCACAGACCAACAACAACAACTTGCGCTTTATAACAATTTTCCCATAGGATGTCTCAAAGCACTACAGAAACAGGAAAAACCCAAACAAGGTGGAAATTAGGAGGGAGTTGATAGAAGGAGGTGCAGTCAAAAAGGTTGAAGAGATTTTGGGGAGAACAGATGAGAGTTAGACCTTGGACGTGACTATAGCTCAGGGCCACATTAGTAAGTACCTGAAATCCAAGGACACAGGTTTGCAGCCCTTGTTCACTACAGGATATATTACTAATCTCAGGTGCATAGCACAAAGGGGAGGTGGTGATAGACAGCCAAGGTTAGGTGCTTTGTAACAGGGAAGAATAGAAAGAGTTAAGATTGGGATGTCAGTCACTTTATCTATCTAATAATGGGTTGTTTTAATCGCATCACATTTCCTAGTTGCTTTCTGAGTTCCGAATGAACTGATCAATTCTTTCTGCTTTGTGAAAGCATCTGCCGCCTATTACCTGCGCTTTTAGTTTCCAAGTCAAAGGAGATAGATTTTCTTATGCAGCAAAACATGTGTCAGTCATTAACACATTAACATGCAATGAAGTCAGACGGTTATGTCACCATCTGATAGAAAGGAAACTTTCACCTTGCGTGACACACAGTGCTCGTGTGACTCTCATTGTACTAATATGTCCACTACTTCCACCCACCATCATTGTTTGAGGAATCCAAGTTGTGAGAATAGGGAGTTCCTCTATTAACTGAAAAGAAAGTAGATCTCATCAATGGCTGTGATCGCTGCCTTGACAAGATTTCCGGTGGAGTGGGAACACAGTCACTTCTGGGTCAGGGGTGTGGGGCGAGGGTTGTAGATTTGGGCCCCACATCGAGACTTTGAACTCAGGATGCAGTGTGGTGCTGTGGGAGTGCTGCATTGTCAGTATGCCGAGTTTCCAATGAGATGTTGAACCACATGCCGTCTGCCTGTTCAGGTGGCCATTAAAGATTCTGTGGTACTACTCAAACAGAATGGAGTTTTTCCCGGAGTCCTGACCAACAATCCCCTAAATAAATTTGATTGTTCACTTCACAGCTGTTTACCGGATGCTTCTGTGCCCAAATTGGTTGCCACTTTTGCCTCCAAAATGCACAGTCACTACACTTTACGAGATATACCAATGGTTACCTTCTCCCTTGCTCAGAGCCCAACCCCGCTACTGAACAATGCTCGAGACGTTATCCCATGTGAAGGGCTAAATAAATGTAAGTTGTTGGAATTCCAGAAAGAATTTTAGCAAAGCAGGATTTTTTTCGATTAAGCAATCCCGATTTTAAAAAGAAATACCATGAATTATCTCTCCCCATCTGGGCATTTTGCAATCAGACATCCCGGTCCATGATTATTTTTTTCAGTAACGTTTAGGCTGTTTGATTCCTGCCCCGGCACGTCTTGGGAATGAGTAACTGCAAGAGTGAAGCATCGTGACTGGTGGCCCAACAGCTTACAGAATGGTCAGGTTGGAGCTTTCCAGGCTGCAGCACAGAGGTAATCCAGTACGGAGGAAAGGGTTAAAAATCTGAAGTAAAGCAAACAACGTTGTCTCTGATGAAAGGTGTCGTGCCAAGAGTCAGTCAGTCTCTCCAGCCCATTTGCTTAACTTCTCCAATTTGATTAGACTTATGCAAACTCAGGAAAATTGACTTCTGCTCAACCTGCTCGCAGTTCCTTGCGCTGTTTGAGGCTGATTCTGAAGTTCGAACGCTCACTTAGATCATAGGTTTCCTGTTGGATAGATGAACTAAAGTAAATCTAGACCCAAATGGAATTTCTCTGATATCCTTCACTGTATAGGAAGCCTTGGAACTAGTCCTCAGTTCTGCAGACCATTGTCTTAACCATTGCATGGAATTAGAATACAGAAAACTAAGAGGGCAAAATAATCAAAGCCTTAGATTAAAAATATACATCAAATAGGAATGAGATTTGATGTATATTTGGACCAGAAATTTCAATCGCTGAGATGCTTAAAGGTTTAGAGAAAATAATAATAAGAATTTTGCGTTTGATACCGCGCCTTATCTCATCTTCGAGATGTCTCAAAGCACTTCACAGGATACACTGTAAAGTGAATTGACTATATACTTTGTGGGCGAAACGTGGCAGCCAATTGAGCACAGCGACGTCCCACAAAGCACAGAACAATCTTTTCAGACACTTCAAGGCAGGTGCAGAACTGGACAGGGATATAAATGGCCAATTTCAGAACAGACACCAGGAAGTATTTCTTTACTCAGAGGGAAATTAACATGTGGAACAGAGCTACCAATAAAGGTGATAAGAGACCAGGATGCTACCCTGTCTTAAACAACAGCTCCATACTGTAACAGGAAGGTGGTAGGAGCTGTATTCTAGAAGGATGAGATCAAATGGGGTGAAGGGCCGTGTTCATGAGCATCACTCTTGTGATCTTGTATTTACAATTCAAATCTGTAGTCAGTCGTACAGGATGCTGCACAGCTGTGGCAATTTGGCTGCACTTTACCTGAGACTGGGCCTGGGCGTCAGCAAATAATAATAATAATCCTTTCATTTCATAAGTAGCCTTTGACGGCAAAACACCTCAAAACATTCATTCCTGTTAGGTCAGGGTTCTGTATTTTCAGGGAAATGCAGCAGCCATTTGCACACAAGATCCCACAAACAGCCACAAGAGGAATGGCTGACTTTTAGCTCCAGGCTAGATTACACCAACAGTTTGCTTGCTGGTCTCCCCAACTCTTCCCTGCACAGGCTGCAGACTCTCCAGAACCCTGCACCCTATGACCTCTCCCGCTCTGCCAATCTATCACTCCCGCCCACTGGCTTCCCACCCCAATGGATCCCAGTTTTTGCTTTTAAATCCCTCTTGTGTTCTCACTCCATTTCCATGTCTCTCCAACTTGCTGCCTCTCTCCCCTCTATCAAGGTGCAACTCAAAACGTACCTCTTTGACTATATATTCCACTTTTAAATATTAATAATAATCCTTGCATTTGATACAGCACCTTTCATGTCGGGAGGACATCTCAAATTGCTTTATAAGATAAACTGTAAAATGTAATGACTGTGTACTTTGTAGGCAAATACACCTGGCAATTTGCACACAATATGTCACAAAAAGCCATGAATTGAAAGAACAACTTTATTTGGGGGATTGTTAGCAATTTATAATAATAATAATCCTTGCATTTGGTATATCCCCTTATCATGTCAGAAGGACGTCTCAAAGCTTTTCACTGAAAAGGCTGTTATATTCCTGGACACTATCTGGATGGACACAGCAGAAACAGGTAAACAGATTATGTAACTATTATTTTATTAGGATTTGCCTATAACCTACTTCGACTCCTATTAAGGAGAATGGATGCCTGTGGTTTCTTTAAAACGTTCTGTCCTGAGGGCTAAACTCTATGTTAGCGCACCAGCCTGGGATTCTTTATACTGTCATTTCACAAGGATGAGGGTCACTGTTCGAGGGGTCTGCAGTTTGAATGTTAGAATAACAACAATCTTTATATTCGATACAGAGTAAACCTCACTTAAGTCGTATCATTCGTTTAATATGACTTATGCCAAGTATGAGCTATGGCAAACTTTTTTTTCCCCCTCTCATGGTGGAACTGAATGTAAAAAATAATTAAAATAAAAATGCTCCTCGGAACAGCTGAGCTTCTCCTTGATGAGAAAATACCTGCGTTTATTTCATTTTTTAAAAGTCTTGTGAAACAAGAGCTCCCATGATTCAGAAAGTGAATTAGAAATGCTAACCACTAACAGTGAAGAGGGAAACAGCAAGAGATCAGCCACACAATTGGTTCCTGTTAAATTCGCTTTTATTTTGCTTGCTGCTATACAAACGTACTGATTTCTCTAACTGCAAGAAGGTACACACAAGGCAAATTAAAAATATAAAGAGGGAAAGATGGGTTAAAATGACTGATGTAGGTATACACACACACACAATAAGTTGGAAAAAAAATGTCTTCTAACCAGCCTGTGTACAAACACAAACAGTCAAAACTAGTACTCGGCTCTTTCTTTCAATGTCGCAAATTGTGACTAATATTGTAGATGTGCCTTAATGTTGCCCTTTAACATTTTAGATCTTGACAGCACTAGGTAGGGTATAGCCTGGTATGTGTTCTTTCATAACCAAATAGCCGTAGCAAGTTTCACGTTCACCCGCCTGAATGGGATCTTCCCACTCCTGTTAAATGGATGGAGCACATGCCACCTGCTCACAAGGACTTGTAGCATTTTAAAAAAAAACTATATTCTCTGCCTATTCTTGCAGGATTGCGTTGTTAGTAAAAATGTTTTTGTCACATTTCTAATAATAAATATAAAGTCGAAAGAGGAGGGATGGGAGGAAAGAGAGAGGAAAAAATTAAAACCCTCCATTTCTCAGAGACTCGTATTTGCTCCAAAGGAAGGATTTTAACATGCGTTTTGAGGTTTAAACATTGTTTTAGTAAAAAAAAATTCTACCTGGTGATGTGAAGGTGAAGCAGGTTCGAGCTGTGACAACATGAGCAGATTGTCTGATCTCAGTGCGGAGGGAGTATTCAATGTTTTCAGAGTGGCCAGTGGTGTAGGTGGGTAGGTGGTGGGGGGAGGAGGGAGAAGATCAGAGGAGAGTCATCTCTTAGTCTCTCTCTCATTTTCCCAGATACAAAAATTGTGTTGTTAGAAGCATTAATTCCTGAAGCCAGTGGGCAGAGCCCTGCGACCTTTCGCTCTTACACAGACTGAGATGGGGTTTGGTGGAAGTGTTTAAATGGTGATGGTTCAGAAAATGTGATTGTTGAGTTCTTGTTCAGTATGGAAGTACATATCTACTGTTGCTCAATGTAACACTAAAAGAGATGCAGCAGGTGAAACACAGCATAGATCAGGTTACACCTCCCACCCCCTCCCCTTCCTGTGCACCCCTACCTCCCAAGCCCCTGAGCCAGACCCAGCCGGCAGCACTAATCGATTATGGCCTCCTGCAGACACCCCTGGGATTTAAAGACCTCAGGGACCTTGGTGTCCAGTTTGCAGATCACTTTGTAGATGCCTTTTTTCCAGGCTGGATCAGTGTCTTTTCCCAGATAGACTGCGTTAAAAAACTCCCGAAGAGTCACTTCCGCCACCTCCAGAAAGGTATCGGGAATCTGAGGAGGAATGTTACAATTATAATAATACTAATCCTTGCATTTGATACAGCACCTTATCATGTCTTATCACAGAGTATACTGTAAAGTGGATTGATCGTGTATTCTGCGGGTGAAATGCGGCAGCTAATTTCATACAGCAGGTTTTGCCCTGCCAGGGAATCAAACCCAGGTCCTCTTGCTTGTGTAGCAAGCACTCGAACCATGACTCTATGGAACTCCAATTACATCGTACAGAGTACGTCTGGTCCAGCAAGAGACACAAACCACAACAGCACTTGCATTTTTAAATAGCTCATTCTTGCGTTCAAAATATCTCTTAAGTGCTTAGTAAGTATTGTCAAGTGTAGGGATGAGGAGGGGGTGAACAGTCTCTGTTCATGGCACAGATGAGGGCACAAACCCACAGTGCCGTAGAACCACACCCAACCATCCTGTTATCGGTTGCAACCAGCCCTTCGCTGGCCCACTATAGCCCAAGGATGAGACCTGGGAAACGAAGCACTGGTGAAACCCTGGCTACCACAGCCTCCTGTCTCACAGATCCTCCGGGCAAGAGCTAATGCAGTGCCTGACGCGGGTGATACTCAGCCTCTCTGTGGTGTTACAGAGCGATGCCTGGGAAAGGAATGTCTTAGCACTGAGTTAAGCAAACAGTCTTAATCCCAGCAGGCTAACTTCCCACCGTAAGAATGCACAGAATCTTTTCTCAGTGTCCTTTGCCAACGACCATTTCATCCTCACTCAGGCGTGTCAAGGACTTAATCCCAGGGTTGTTTTAGCGAGATAGCGTGGCTTCCGTTTCCCACACTTTGGTAAATGAGTGCCTCGTACTAAGGTCAGCAGTTGGGAGGAGAGGGAGCCTTAGGAACGCAGAAGACTGGAAAAGAGCATTAGTGTCTGCCTGACCAGTCTAACTATCTCATACCATTGTTCACTGTCTCTCATTCTCTTGTCTCTACACCTCCACCAAATGCCTGTCATTTGATTAGTTGCATGTGTCCAACGAGATGTCTGGATTGGAACTACCGAAATTCCGGCAAAAGTGCTGAAAAGAGGCCAGGGAACAAAACGCTTCTTTCTGTGTGTGTGTGTATGAGAGAGATAGTGCTCCGACACACAACATGGTCTCAAGGTGTCAGGGAAGTGGTGGTGGACTGACTGACCTGAAAGTCGTTGGCTTTGTTGTAGTGCATGTTGAGGGCGCGGAAGAGTTCACAGTCCCTGGTGACCTTCAGGTCGTTGGTGTCGGTGATGCCGTCGGCCATAGCCTGTCGGGCAGATTTCTCCATCTGGATGTAGTAAAACTCGCGGAAGTTACTGAACCATTTGATCAGCTGAGAAGTGATGCATCTGTTGAACTGGGATTGGAACACAAACAAGGCATCTGGTTACTCGAGTCATGTCTATGTGGGATGCATGGAATTCTCAGTTTGGTTTGGAGACTCATAAACATATGTCAGACACCCAGCTGACCAAAAAATATTTATAATAACTACCTGTGCACAAGGTGAGGAGAGAACAAATGGTGGACAGCAAAGGATCTGAAGATCTTAGAGGAAAGAGAGACCACAAATAGAAGGTGGAGCAAATCAGGGCTGTCCTGACTCTAAGCAGTGCAGTGTTGGCAGGAATCTGTTCCCATAGTAACATTTCAATGAAATCGTAGTAATTTATTCTATGAGGCAGTTGATGTCAAGCACTGCCACAGGAGAGGTTCAATCCAGGATAAACTTTTAATGGGACAATAAGGCTAATCCTGTCCAGCAATCATGGCACAGGTGGGGCACAAGTTCAATCCAGGAACCAATCTAGGCAACTTGACCCATTGTACTTACGCCAGCTCTACGTTATAGATAACCTTTTAGTCCAGGACATTGACTTGTTGAACAAACAGCTTGATGCTGTAATTGGAAGCTATTAGGGTGGGTATTTTGGAAAGATGAGATGAAATGGGCCAAAGGGCCTTATTCATGCAAAATTCTCTTGTGATCATTCATTCTCTCACACAAGCTAACTCCAGGCCTTAATCTCCCTGTTGTTCACACATGCAAATACAGGGAAAGATGCAGTCAACAGACGGAGCCTCGGTTTTATCAGCACAGGTCTATTTGTGTAAAAAAGTCGTTAGTGAGAAGACCACAAATATTCCAGGGCAAAGGTGTGTGCTTTGTCTTGGGCAGTTAATAAGAAACTCCTTTCTCCTTTCCAATGTGATTGTTAATATCCATCAGGCTGGAACTTGGTTTAAAGGCTGACCGAGAAATGCAGCAAACCCTCAATGCAGTGCACCCCACTACTACTATTGTAGTGTCATTCTAGACTTTGAGCTCAAGTCACAACGTGGGACTTGAACCCACCTTCTGACTCAGCAATGCCCAACATGGTGCTTGTCGACATTTGCAAATGTAAATGAGTGTGCTCTTCGAAAGCTGAAAGAGACTGAAGTAAATTTGACAGCAGCTTCACCCACAAAATACACAGTCACCCCACTTTACAGGATACTCTGTGAAGCACTTTGAGATATCTCAATAATGAGATGAGGCACTATATCAAACGCAAGAATTATTTATTAATGCAATTAAACTGCAACTAAACTGTGGGTCTGACCGGAGAGAGCAGAGATGTGATAAGGCGCTATATCAAATGAAAGCTTTATTATTATTATTGTTATTATTGTAAGGATGAGCTTGTGCAAACCGATTTGGATTTGCGGTTATGCCAATAGCTGGAGACGGTGAATAGGGGAAGCTTGGTTTTCTCTCTGGATAGAATGTGTTATCCCACCTGAACTGGGAATGTTCGTTGGGATTCGCCACATTTGTCCCATTGAAAGTGAGTGGGAATTTTATCCTGGATTGAACCTGTGCCGGGGGAAGCTATTGACACCAACACTTGTGTACCTTGTTCCCACTGATCCTTTACCCCTCACTTCACCGAGCAGTGCCCGTGGGAAGATGATGGTAGAGTGGTTAGCGCAGCCTCGCACTTCAGAGAAAACAGCGCCTTTGTGGCCGAGTGAACAAGTCTGCCTTTCTCCTGGGAGACACTCACTCTCAGGAGATTAAGGGAGGAATCCGCGCTCGGATCAGTGCTCAGCTTCTGATTAAACCGTCTGCTCAGCTGTCAGTTCCCGTTCTCCTCTCCCAGGGAAACTGAACCATTTAAAAGGACAAACCCTTCGCATTCCAGCACCTTTCCCAAAGGAAAGTATCTGCTATTCCCAGCGCAGAATCACAGCCCAACCTGACGTTCCTGTGCCCCTCACATTGTATACTTGTAGGCCGGGCCGCTACCCTATCAGAAACCTGAGATTCCACCTGCTCTTAGCCTGTGAGATACAACGTAGATTCACTAGGTTGGTACCTGGGATGAGGGGGATGAGTTATGAGGATAGGTTGAGCAATTTAGGCCTACATTCTCTAGAATATAGAAGAATGAGAGGTGATCTTATAGAAACCTATAAGATTATTAAGGGGCACGGCAGAATAGATAGTGGGAGACTTTTTCCCCTGGTTGGAGAAACTATAACCAGGGGTCACAGTCTTAAAATTCAGGGTAAGCCCTTTTGCACTGAGCTGAGGAAAAACTTCTTCACTCAGAGGGTAGTGAATTTATGGCATTCTCTACCCCAAAGGGCTGTAGATGCTCAGTCCTTGAACATATTCAAGACTGATTGATAGATTTCTTGTGGATAAAGCGATATGGAGATAAGGCGGGCGGGTGGAGTTAGAATAGATCAGCCATGATCTTATTGAATGGCGGGGCAGGCTCGAGGGGCCGAATGGCCTACTCCTGCTCCTAATTCTTATGCTCTTATGTTTTAACTTTTAAGATTGAGCAGAATTGTGGAAAATATTAATAATAATCCTTGCATTTTATATAGTGCTTTAACACGTCATTGAGACGTCTCAAAGCACTTCTCAGAATATACTGTAAAGTGGAATGACTATGTATTTTGTACACGAAACGCGGCAGCCAATTGCGCACAGCAGTTATTCACAGCAGAAATTCTTCAATCCAGTTTTAATGTGAGAAATATTGGAACTCAAGAAACAGAAAAGACCATTACTGTCTAAAATCTCTGAAGCAGTTTACAATGGGTTCTTTGCATCCTCTTACCTTGACATCAGGAAAGTAGGTTTTCAGCGTGTTGGAGCTGGGATAGCGAGTGTAGAAAAACATCAGCTTGGCTTTCTTCAGGTGGTTGGGTGTCAGGCCCTCTTGAATGTAAAGAGTTGTTAAGGAAACACTGAGATAGTTAACTCTGCTTGAATCAGTTTCCTCTCCAATTCCTACCACAAATTGTCACCTTCCCCCCACCCCCCCACTCCCCCTCTCTCACTTGTCATGTTTTGATGGCGATCAGCTCTTGACTATCCTCTGTGTGAAGCAGTATCTCCCCAGTATCTATCCTGAATGTGCGTTCACAAACCCATCTGGGCTACTCTCACTCAGTTGGTTCAAGCCTCACATTGAAACTTGAGTTAGTCTTGACCTACCACCCCAGTGCAGTGATTGGCGAGCACTGCATGGAAACCGTCTTTCAGACGAGACAAGAGATCCTGTAGAAAACCTAAATTCTAAAAGAGAAGATATTTTCCTGGTCTCCTGGCTGGATTAGATCAATCATTCAATTCAAGGTGTTTGTGGAACTTTGTTAAGCACAAAATAGCTGCCACTTTCACCAACAAAAATCACTCCACTTGATTGACGTTACCTGTACAGCACTTGGAGACATTTTGCAGTGAGATAAGGCGCTACATCAAAATCAAAGATTATTACTATTCCAAGTGCACCTTGCTCTCTGAATGACATTCAATACAATAGTGCTTGGCTCATCGAAGGCTCTTGTCTTAGCGGTGCATTTGAATAATGTAAGACAGACTCGGTGCCAAGCACTTATCAGCTGGATCCCATCCCGACCCCCAGTCTCCAACCTTGAATATAACCCTTGAGGCCAAGATTGAAATTAAATTAGAATATCTTTGAAAGGCACATTTGGCCTTCAAATGAAAAGAATCATATCCTCATATTTTCTTTTTTCAACCACTTTCCTGTGGACAGTCTGTGAAAGGATGTTGGCAGCTGAATATTGCCTGCATTACCATCATAAACTCTTTGCAACAATAGTCAGCATGGAGCAGTGAGCGGTAATGAAAAGCTTCGAAGCTATTCAGTGGTCCTTCTGAGTATCATTGCTAATCCCTTTTACAGCAACGCACTCATTCATTATGGTTCTGTAATCCATCTTAATTAAAAGATGCCTATTTACATATTAAATAAACAAGGAGACAAAAGCACTGTCTAATTTCATTTGAGGATATCGTTCACTTAATGGGCTCCTGTTTTAAGTTGCTCTTTCCCATCTCTTAATGTTTTTGTTGCCATTCTCTTCATGTGTGGAGGTGGGATGTGTATTGGGGCGAGAGAGAAGTGTTTGCCATTACATGATACTTTCAGGTCCTGCCAATCCTTATGATCTCTTCGCAGTTCATCACTTGGCACGGTTCTTGCATCTAATAACCGTTTTTACACTACTCCAGCACGTTGTCTCCGTAGGCAACCAGCGATGGTCAGTCAGCTGGTAATGTACAAGAGGCTTTGTTGACTGGATAAGGAAACCCCGCTTTCGGGATCAGGCCTCCAGCTTCCTCTGGGTATCAACAATCCGACTCAACAATATGATGTAGGAGGTCCAGAGCCGAACATGCCCGGTGTCATTCCATCTGGACAACAAGAACAAATAACATCAAATTACATTTGTAAAGTGCCCTTCCTGTTGTGAGGATGTCCCAAGGCACTGGCGTCATGGAATATCTTTCCCGCTGACACTGAGATGTTTATAGTGTGAAAGGCACTATACAAATGTAAATAGCCAGATTGTCCACTTGACGCAGATTGTCTTTGGAGCCCTTACAATCAGGACTTTGAATCTACTCCCACCAAAAAAACACATCTAAAATCTATGTGAGAACCTCTGTATATTCTATGGTTTCTTAGGCGTGGGTTTGGGAAGCAGGTAGGACCAGAATCCTCTTTTGGGACAAGAGGCACACGGGAACAGATATCACAAGTTCTTAAATCTAGTCTTAATATGGAGTAAGAACGTAGAAGTGAGGCTAGTTGGTAGCTCTTTTAAAGAACTGTCACAGGCATAAAGGGCCGAATGACCTCCTTCTGTGCTGCAGGATTCTATGATTCTAATGGAAATTGTTTTGCAGCAATTTTTAAATTAAGATTGTGTGACTTTAAGGCAACGGTCTTAAAGCTGAGAGCATTAGGCTTTGGGACCTCACATCTCTGTGTTGTTGTTGTTCGAGCCTGGGGTGGATCCTGGCAAGGAGTCCAGTGCAACATGGATGGAGAGACAGCTTCTCCCTGTGGTTGTGTGTTCAACAGCAGTGACCCCTCTTGTCCATGTTTTGGGCTTTTATGTAAAGTTGGCAAGACTTCATTTCAAAACCTGACTGACCTCCTCCTTGTCTATCAAAAAGCATCTGATGCAAAATCTACTTCATGAATTCTTATCAAAGCCCCTTTCATACATTAATTCACCCTCACCTTTAATATTGGCCCTTTCTTGTGCACATTTAAAGGGGCATAGGCTTCATGATAAAATGGTCACCACTCCCCCCATCCTTGGGGCAATGGAGCAGACTCATCACCATTGCCTGACCTGCCCAAGACAAGTGAGGGTGAAGATTGTGCTTATATAATATAATAATCCTAGAATTTGATATAGCGCCTTATCACGTCTGAAAGAGCTTCACAGGATTTACTGTAAAGTGAATTGCCTGTATATTGATGCCAGCCAATTGCGCACAGCACTGTTCCACAAACATTCGTGATTGAATGACAGTTTTTGTTTTGAGGGATCATTATCCCCGGAAAGTAATCCACTAACCAATTAACAACCAGGTTGTCCTATATTCCCTTGCTCAGACACTCACTTCTCACCTCAAACCTCCTCCATTCCAACCTATTCCTATAAATGCATACTTGTTCTATATCTAACCTTTCCTATATGAATACAATATGCAGACATTTTTGAGTATTAAACCGGATGAATCTCATTCAACAATGCTATCCCTGTATCAATATCTACACTTAAAAGGCTAAACAAAAAAGTTACAGATAAGAAAGAAACAACTAAAAGGTTTTCTGTCGCATTTGGAAACAAAGAGACACTTGTAAAGGATATATTAATTGATGTGTAGGGAGAGACTTCCGCCAAGCTATGGAGATCTCCACATTCAGCCTTAATGTGAGTCAGACACAGACTATCCACTGGGCCCTGGTGAAAGCGCGAGTATGGCTGTTGAGTCATGTGATGGGGAGCAATCTTTGATCTCAGCTTCACCGTTTCCCAGGAAAGATCTATAGATTCGGGAGAGGCTGGGTCCTTGGCAGAGGAGGAGAGATTGTGTCCTATATCCGCATGCATCCCGTAACTCATCACAGGTACAGGCAAATCATTCAAAGGCAACTGAGAACCAAGAGCTATTGCTAATGCTGTGCTGGTGTGACCAATCTGACAGGGTGGTTTGATCACTGGGTTGACCAGGCTGGGCTGGGATGATTTTCTCACCACCAATGGTAAGGCCTCAGTTTGATCCTGAATATCAAAGGTTTGAGGATTCTCAAAATATTGGTGTATCGTGGGCTCCTGGGGACACCGCAGCTCTTGGCTCGGCATCCTTAGGTTGGTGCTGTCACTCTGCACAGCGTCTTTGGGCCTTGAAGGGGGGAAAGGATGAAATGACTGAGAGGAGCTTGAAGGTTTAACTGAGAACAACTGCACCACAGAGTCCACAATGTGAGCTACTGCATTGCTCAGTTCATACTTCAGGGCATCTGCGAGATGTCGTCCCTCAACAAGAGAGAATGAAAAATGATTATTGCTGTTGAATTTTCTGTCCGTGTTTTGATGTCTGGTCGTGTCTTTCCCTGAAGTCAGCTCCCTGTCTTGGGTAAGAGCTTGGACATAGTCAATGTAGAGAGAGTGATCCACATCTGACAGGTCACGGGCAAATTTCCCCTGCGCATCTTCATCGTTCTCTGCCTTGCAAGCAGTACCGTCCAAGGGAAAGTTGGCATCTGGCAGGTCCTCTTCCTCTTCTTGTTCCAGCTCGTTGGTGTCATACACCTGGAAAAACTTTTCCTGAAGTTCTAGGAGTTTTCCCTGCATTTCCTGCAGCTGTTGTTTCAACCTGTGGCATTCCTCTCTCCTGTGTTTCTTGAAGGATGAAGCTATCAAGTTCTTGGGACTGCGTTCCTCCTCATCCTCCTCCTCGTCCTGTTGTTGTTGATGTTGTTTTTGCTGCTGCTGCTGCTGCTGTTGTTGTTGTTGTTGTGGAAGCCGCTGCTTACGTTTGTTCTCTTTGTATTGGTCCCTCAAGCCTCCCTGCTGGTGACTGCCGTCCTTCTCGAGCTCGTTGCTAGGAATGGCGACAGTGGGAGAGCTGCTCATGCCACGGATGATATTCTCCACTCTTGCTCTCTTAGCTCGCAAGTGCTCATCAAAGAAACGATCCCCTTCGACGCTGCTCGTGGCATGGGCTTCACTGAGAGGCAAGGAAAGGTCCTGCACGCTATCTTTGGAGGAATTGCTGCTCCTGTCCTCTTGAGAAGATTCTGTGGTCGAACTGGATACGTTACTGGAAGAGAAGAAGAGCGAGTGGTCTACTGGACTGTTTTTCTTGGTAGTTTTCTTCCAGAATTGGGATATGATGGCCCTGTTTGTATATGATGTTGCTGAGCCCTCAAACAGGTTCCTTTTGAGGCGCATGTGAAGCCGGCTTGTTTGGTCCCCTTCAAAGTAGCAGGGACTGGACCCTTCCGCGTCCTGATCAGAGATGCTCAGGTTCATTGGGTAGATGGTGGGGGCAGCGCTTTGCTTAGAGATACACTCATCAAAGGGGTTTGGGATTCCCGAGTCAAACCTTCTTTGCTCAGATTCCACAGCCAAAGGGGATGTGCTGTGGCAGTCAGGCATCCCCGGGAAGTCACCCCACTTCTGGTACAGAAGACCTCAGACCTGGTTAATAAAAGACAGAGATGTTACTTTGTGCCCTTTCTGACGGAATCAACAGCGATTGCTTTGCCCTTTTATTTGCAACACTGAGCTTTGTTCTCTTCAATAGCCACCTGTGGAATCACGTAGGGAGAGCCCCAAAAGTAGGGTTTTCCGTTATCTAAAGCTGACTAAAAATAAACTCCTGATGTGAAGTATTAACCGACAACCTTCTGACTCAGGAGCCAGAACTCTACCTGTTCCAGGCTGAACAGATCAAACTGAGAAAATCATCCCCAAATCAGAGGTTGAATACTTTGTTCCCCAATTCAATACAAAATTAAACCAGAAAACACATCACACAATTGGCAATTTTACACACTAAATGTATGTTTCTAAATAATCTTTCTGTATCTGAAAGAGGGTTGACTACAAGTTATTTTGAAGTCTAGCAAATGGAAAGTGGTTTGGTCCATTGACTTTCCACGTGAGCATAATGAACACTTACTGCCTACACGAAGTAACCGCCCACCTATAAAGTACTCGGTCACCATAAATCTACATAACTTCGGTAACTGTAAGGTGCTTTCAAACATTCTCCTGACGTCAAAGGCACTAAACCAAACAAGAGGATTATTAGTATTTTCTTATTATGATAGAAGTGAAGTGGAAGGAGTTTGATCTATTGCACATAGCAAAGTGAATGGGACAGAGAGTAAATGGGATGGAGAGTGATTCACCAATTTCTAGGTATAACTGAAGTTCATGGGATGGGGTTGGAGACATTAGAATCCACTGAAGCAAATAAAAAGAGATTTAATCTGTTGCAAATCTATTCAAACCTAGATTCTGCCTCTTTTAATTTAAAAAAAACAGGAGATATGAATCTTGTGGCAGCGGATAAAGACCAGTAATAAATATTCATCATTTACTGTGGAATCCTGTAGCTCAGTGGTTAGAGCACTCGCCTCGAAAGCGAGGGGACTGGGTTTGATTCCCGGGCAGGGTGAAACGTTAAAGGCAAGTTTCCTTACTCCACACTCCTCTGTTCACCTAGCAATAAGTAGGAACCTGATTGTTAGTCAATTGGTGGATCGCTTTTCCAGGGGTAATAATCCCTTCAAAAATAAATAAAATAACAATAATTTGGTCACTCAATCCACGACTGTTCGTGGGTCGCTGGTGCGCGCAATTGGCTGCCGTGTTTCACCCACAAAAGTGAAGCGTCTCGAAGATGTAATAAGGCGCTATATCAAATGCAAGGATTATTATTATTATCATGCCTCAATGTATTGTGCTAAACATACTGTTAATGATTCGGCATCAGCAGTGTGTAGTGTGGGATGTTTAACTTCCCAGATTGTGGCTGAAGTGCCAGACTGGCTACTGTGCTCTGCCAACCTTGAGTGACAATGAATCACGAGTTGAAACCCACTCACAAAGTAGATCTTACCAGAACAGGATGATACTGTACTTCCATATGGGGCTGAAAATAATCCTAATTGTTCTTCACTGTTTTCAAGAGGATGAGGAGGAGGGAGTGAGGGGGGGGGGGGGGGTTGTTTTGTTAAATTTGACTAAATAAACATTTCCCTCTCTGAAAAAATATTGATTGTATTTTCATATGAGGAAAGGACTCCTTAATTAAAAAAAAGGAGAAAGGAAACCATCAGTTGAATAGAGCAGAGCTGCGGTTGGAGGGAGAAATAAAGCGTCCCCGAAATTCCACTTCATCTTAGCTTTTAAGACCAATTTATGTTCAAATTCAAGATTGGTTAGAATTGTCTTAAATTCTTAGTTTGTCCGAATTAAGGCCCAAATGAAGAATTTTACACAAATTCTACAACGATTTTAAGTTTTAAGACAAAACTATTCACAATTCATAAATGCAACCAAGGATTTCTGTCGCTGAATGTCACTGCGAGTAGTTACTCGGTGGATTTCTGCTCTGTAGGTTTTTGTGTCCAGTCATTTGTATGATTAGGTTTGGAGGAATTTCACTGTTCAGCTTTTGTGTGAGGTGCTTGTTGACTGAGTGAGGCGTTTGCGTATTGTTGTTTTGTATTCCAGAGTTTGCTATCGGCCTTTTCGTCAGCTTTTCCTGATTGTTTTCAATCCCGTAGCTTGTGTCTTCTATCAGCATTATCCCAGATGTAAGGTTTTGGACATTTGCAGTGAGGTGGAAAGGAACGTGGTGGGTCAGTGAGTTTCTGGTCATGTCAATTTTGTGGCTGAGTGTCCAAGTTTACTCTCTGTTGCAAACGCACTTGGTTTGATTGTCTATGTATCTTTTATACTCGTGCCAGCCCTGGTTTTTGATTATCATTCTCCTGTTGGCTCTTGGTGTCTCTGGTCGTGTATTGTATCAGTATGCACTACAGCATTTTGCCGTTCTCTATTTGAGCTGTGCTTGAACCAAAATATACATTAAGCAAGACTGTGCTTCTTTATACTGTGGATGCACGAGAGAAGTTCGGATGAAGAAAACCCTTCAACCCATTTGATCTCCCCACCACCCCACTATAATAATAATGATGCTTGCATTTGATATAGTGTCTTATGTTGTTGAGACGTCTCAAAGTGCTTCACAGCATATACTGTAAAGTGAATTGACTCTGTATTTTGTGGGAATACCAACTACTATTGTCCCCATTACTGCACCAAGCTATTTCTTATATGACCACAGCTTCCTAGCCTGGTAACCCGTTCCAGCCCTTGAATACCCTCAGTGTAAAGAAATACTTCCGGGTCTCTGTTCTAAAATTGCCCTTTACAACTCGAAGCTTATGCCTTCCTGTTTTGCAGCTGTGGCAAATCTAAAAGCATTGTTTTGGCTTTGTTTTCTCTGTTACCAGCTGCTTTGGCATCTCGTTCTCCACTCGTCTATTTGGGGAATCATCTGTGTCACAAGCTTCGATTCTGTGGCTTTCAGACAGGCAAGCTGCCAGCCTGTGGCCTCCCTCCCCGCTACCCCCTCTCCCGCTAAAAGTTAAAAGGTGAAAGGGGAGCATTGTTCCTTTCATTATCCCAAACCTGTCCCAGGTGTCAATAGAAGAAGTTGAAACAGCCCTGCAGACAACGTCTGTTTTCTCCAGATAAGTGGGAAGAAATTCCACCCGCGTCTCGATTTACTGTATTTATGGTACATTTTGGAGCATCCAGAATTCGGCAAATTCTTATACACAGCCTTAATTTTGCATTTCTTTACATTTTTTCTGTTCTTTTCTGTCACAAACCGACAAAGACTCAATTCAACAATTTGCCAAATTCTGCACCTTGTTAATAGAATGAATCTGGATCTGAGTGGAACTTCTCCCTCCCCAAAGGGTTGCCCCATCCATGGCCCTGATCAGTTTGGGAAATTCAACTGACTGGAAGGAATCTTTCATGTTTGGGATCTCAGTTTACAATCTGACAAAGCCGCAAATACCACTACAAAACAGGAGGGCACAGGCTCTGAGTTATGAAGCTGCAATTTTAGAACAGAAACCAGGAAGTATTTTTTACACAGAGGATATTGAATAGCCGGGTTATCAGGAAGGGTGGTAGAGGCCAGGACGCTGGGCTCATTGAAAAAATAGCTTGATGCCGTACACAGAGCAACTTAAGACCTCTTTAAAGCTGTTTGGACTTTTGTAAAAATCGCAACTTCAAATAATACAACACAAACTTGCATTTATATAATTGGGGGGGGGGGGGGGAGACAGGAGGGATGTGACAGACACATGTTTAAAAGGGTTTTGATGACAGGAAGGAAGGGAGCAAGACAGAGATTTTTGGAGGGAGTTTCAGAGAGCAAGGGATTAGTGGCTGAAAGCTGAGATAGAACAACCGGTGGCAGCGAATTAGAGCATGGAAGCGTATCGACGATCTCCCTCCGTTTTACATTATTTTACACCCTGTGAATTTATTCGTTCATCTGTAATACTTTCCCCGGCAAATAACATTTCAATAACACTTAGTCCCATCCCTTTTGTTGCTTGTCGGGGGTACATTTGTTTCAATCTAATTAAGTCATATTGGGTTTTACTACTTTAGGGTCTGTCTGTGCCCAATAGTAATTGGAGAGTTCTGAAACATGCTCTGAAGAATGTCAGAGTAAGCTTGGGTTCTGTCACGTTTCACCACTTTAAAGAAAGAAAATGATTCCTGGAAAATGTGTTTAGTTTAAGCTCGAGGTGTTTCGTGCTCAGGCCCGGTGTTTGTGTATCATCTGCAAATAACAACAACTTACATTTATTTATATAGCGCCCCTCGATTTATATAGGCATTTATATAGGCAACGGGTAGCGGTTTGGGTAGTAAACAGATCGGAAAGGTACGGAGGTGCCTGGGATTTGATAAAAGGTTTGAAGACTAGTGTGAGGATCTTGAAATCAATCTGTTCAGTGAGAGGAAGCCTGGCTAGGACTGGTCAACAACAACAACAAGATTACATTTGTATAGCGCCTTTCATGTCGGGAGGACCTCCCAAGGCAATTGGTCAATAGGGAGCGGTGGTTAAGGCACTACATCAAATGTAAAGAATTATTAATTATTATTATTAGTACTAGTAAGGTTTTGCTATGGAGGTTGGTTCTGTTGTTCTGTATCTTCCAATTCTCTGTGATCTCTGAAATCTCCTCTTACCCACTGACAGAAGCAGACATATTACCTATCCCTCCCTTCCTCTGCCCCACCATCAGATTCATTCAAATACAAATTATTTTGGAATACAGTATATGAGTAATTTGAGATGTGACATGTAGTAAGAACCAGGCAACTTTGGATCTATGGTTCCCAAAGCTTCGCACTCTGTTGTAGACTAATCCATACAGAATTATTTGCTATCAATATCTCCATTATTGTAGCAAGTGACTACCAGGATGGGAGAAGGCCACCTTGATGGACCATTGTCTTTTTCCGTCAAGCAATTCCTATGTTCCTATCAGCAGCTGAGCTTTCAGTTACTACTGTGCTCTCTGGAACTTACTCCCTAAATC